AAATAAAACTTCAGTTACTTCCTCCCATTCTCCAGCCTTTTTTATAACATTTCTCATTGATATTTTTAATTATAAAAAATATCACTTTAAAATCAAAAATAAATCAATACATATAAGTTTAACATAAATTTTTTTTTCTATTACTGTTTTAAATTACATTTAAAAAATTTTTTCAAAATAATTTGAAGAGTTATAAATAATTAAATAGCATTATTTAAAATATATTTCAAATAAAGTTAAAGTAGAAAATTATACTAATTTTCAATATTATTAAACACACACAAAAGTAATTAACATATACGAATTAAAAATAAAACCCAAAAAACCCAAATTTATCCAATAAAACCCAAAGTTACTCAAAAAACCCACTGAGCCAGGATTTTTTTCAAAAAAAAAAAAAAAAAATGGGTTTTTACCAACCCTGAAACAAAGTCCATTTTTTACTTTTTCTCTATATAACATAGTTTTCGAGTTTACCTCGGAAAACGAAAATGTCCATAAACAGACAGACAACCACTATGCTTTTATATAATAATGTATGTATGTGTGTGCATATACATATATATATATATATATATATATATATATATATATATATATATATATATATATATATATATATATATATATATATATATATATATATATATATATATATATACAAACACTTTCTTTCAAAATTTTTCAAATTCAACCAATTAAGAAAATAAAATAGAAAAACTTTTGTAAGTGACACATGATTTTTGTGATAAACTGATGTAGAGAGCGAAACAAACATTTTTAAATAACTTTTAAAAAAATAATTTGACTATCTTGTTCTTTTTCCATAATAAATTTTAAGTTTTTATAAATTGCTGCAATATTTGATCAACAAATTATTTTGAAAAAAATGATTTGTTGATCAAATTATATTTATTTGATTCCTTAACAAACAAATCTTTGTCTAATGGTACAGCTGACTGGTTCAAAGTGTTAAGATTTATACAATCTGGAACTAATAGATATTCAATTTCTTTATGTTTATGTAATTAACATATTTCTCTACTTTCATTTTCTATCAAATCCAATGCAAGTAATAGTCTATACTTCTTAAGAATGTTTATGTTAATTCTTCCAAACGTCTTGTTGTCTTTTTATTATTTTTCTAGGGTATTATCAGCAGTCTATTTTCAGGGCCTATAGATGAGCATCAACTAACTCACAAGCATATCTATTTGATGCTGCAGGTTCTATTATTATACACAATCTTGGATGATTATGTTTTATAACTGGATGCTACCTAATGAAAATACAAAGTTTATAAAACAGGCATAAACATATAAACTTTGAAATTTATGGCTGTTTTATAAAGTTTGTATTTTCACCAGATAATGATTAAAAAAAAATCATCCCTTTAAAGTTCAACTGGTAAAAGTTCTTTTTAAAGTTCAACTGGTATAAAATCTTCTTTATCTCATACCACCATTAAAACTAAAAGCCAATACGAACTTTCAAAATGATGAATACATCTTTAGATTTTGTGTAACATAATTTATCCATTTTCTTTTTTTTTTTTGTTTGTTTGTTTTTTATTTATCCAATTATCAATTGTCAAATTGTTTGAACTAGCATATTCAAAAATCCATTATTTTTACATAAAAAACATAAATGTAAAACAACAAAGGATATATATAAAAAATTCAAATAAATTAAGTAAAAACTGTTTATTTATAGATCACAATTTTAAAGTTGATTGAATCAATTATTTAATTTACTGTTTGTGTATTTTTTGCTTTTTTTACTTTAGTATTTATTGGTAAAGATTTTTGTGTAAGAGAAGCATTATTGACCCATTAAGTATTTTTAAACTCTTAGTAAGTAACTCTTAACAAGTAAAAGATCTCTTAAAATCTTTAAATAATATTTTTGTAAAACTTTAATCGATGAATCATACTAAAAAAGACATAGGCTAAAGCAAGAGTTAATACAAGACTAAACTGTGAGTCATAAGGAATGTGACAGATACCACGGATGAGGTGGGAAAGGAAAGCAAAAAAAAATTTACTATCAGATTATCATTTTAATTTATTTTTTGTGCTATATCTAAGTGGAAAATTAAAGACCAAAAACAAAAAAACAAAAATTTATTTACAGACTCACTAAAGGAACGTCTATGTTGAATGGATAATCTTGTAGTATACTGTTATATTCTTCAAGAGTAGTGATGTACAAAGGTGTAAAATTATCTTCCTTGCCAATTTCGCTATAAAAAGAATTTAAAATTTTGTATATAAATATTTAGCTAATTTATAAAAAAATATAAACTGTTTAATCAATTGGAGTTAATAATTACTTTTATCTTTTTATTTTATATAAACATGTATATTTAAATGAATAGTAATTTGTGTACATATATACATATAAATACACACACATATATATATATATATATATATATATATATATATATATATATATACACATATATATATATATATATATATATATATATATATATATATATATACACATATATATATATATATATATATATATATATATATATATATATATACATATACATATACATATATATAATATATATACATATATATTATATATACATAATATACATATATAAATTATTATATATGTAAATATATATATAAAGTCTTTCATGCATTCCTACTTACATAATCATGTACAAATTTTACACTATCTATTGAACTATGGAAAAAAGATTATATATCAAACAACCATTTTTGATCTGCCATCATGAAATTCACTTTTCTGTTTATTTCTTTGAACAACATATTCTGTAAATATATTGGCTTGCTTTAGCTTTTCTGATAAAATGAGATAAAAGATAATCCACAATACAAGTTTATTGAGTTGTGATATATAGTTTGGAGCATTTTTACAAATTGCAGAAAATTTAAAAAACTAGTTTAAAAACGCTTTTTTACATTCAAAACTTTGAGTGTAATTATTATACACATGCACAATTTATGTTTTAAACCACTAAATTTTTTATAGTAATATTTTGCAACAAATTATTAATCAAACAATATGAATGTTGTTCTACAAGCTTCAAATGTCCACCTTCCTAACAATGAAACCCCCAATATTTGCTTTTACTGTAATTGACATTGCCCAAAAATCATTATATGGGATGCCATTAAAACTAATCAAAATGATGGTTAATAGTTTATGTCTCCTAACACCAAAATACACAGCCACATTTACTTTAGAATACTTCTAGAAAAAATGTATTCATGAACACCTAAAATTTTCATGAATACCTAAAAATTTCAGTATATGTATGGCTTATATATGTATGGCTTATATTATTATATATGGCTTATATTTTTATATGTTTAGTATATGTATGGCTTATATTTTTCATTTATCCATTGTGGATTACCAGAGGTATGACCACATTGTCAAACAGCTCTTTACACTGGTCCCTTATGGAACTAATACCAATTCAGAGCATTCTCTGGTGAGATCTTATGTCAGAGATTCTCCATGCATAGGTGTCTAATCCATTGTGGGCTCTTTAAGAGACTATTTGTTTGCTCATTGTTAACTTATTTCTATTTGAGCTTTTTCTCTTTCAGAGAATTTTAAGCCTTAAAAAAGTCAAAAAGCGCCACAAATCTAAGCCACTAAACATCACTATATATCAATGCTGACTTTTAATACAACCATTAAGTATGAAATTGTATTTCAACCAAAAAATATTCATAAACATCAAATATTTTCTATGAATACCCGCAAATTTCAGCATGAAAGAGCACCCTGTCAAAAAACCAAGCTTGTAAACAGTTAATTACAAAAGAATGGGATTGAAATTATTGGCCATAGGTCTGGTAATTTACCTGACCTTAATCCCATTGAAAATTACTGACACCATCAAAATATAAAGTCGGGAAATTAAGAGCCTTATCTTCTGATGATATTCGAGAGAAAATTATGCAGGTATGGATTCAACTTATGACTTCTAAATATTTGAGGAAGCTTATTCACTCAATGCCAAGCTCTATAGTTGTTAAGTGTTTGAAAGCTCAAGGATACCATACTAAATATTAAATAGATAAGTTCGTTTACTAATATTTTGAAGTTTTTCTATTTGTCAATAGTCATGATTAATAACATATTTTGATAAAATAAATAATTTAATGAAAATTGTGTTTTTTCATGTTCCAAACCTTTGATCATGACTGTATATAAATATAAACCAAAAGGGAAAGGAAGAAATATAATAATAATCATGTTGTAACTGTATTAGCAACTGCCAATCTTGTCAGGTATAGCTTGCTATGCTTAACACCAACAATTTTTATTTTAAGATTGGTTTAGATTTAGATTAAACTGATAAAAAAAAATTTTCATAAATCTGATTCAGTTTATACTTTGATAAAATGCTTAGTAATGTGGTTTCCTACCTATGGTGCTACCATTTCACTTGTGCATGCATTAGATTTACCAGAATCTGTTTTGAATGATATGTTATATCTTTTTTTCTTACAGTTTAACCAAGCAATTGAAGCATAAAATAATACTTGTTTCAGTGCATGTTATTTGACTTTAATAGTCTCATGTCAAACTTTGAGTTAAAAACATAGATCATACAGATCATATTTTAAAAATCTGGAAAATCATTAGAATAAAGTATTCGGAAAAAATCCATAATATATTTTCCCTTACATTCCTCTTAATTTTGCTTTTAGCTGAGATGTTTTTAGTTTTTTTTTAACTTTTGTTAATTTTTGTATGAGTAATGAGTGAAAAAGCTTAAAAAACTTAAATATATTACAAAAATATATTCCTAAACTTGTATGGAAAACATTTTTGATATCCAGAAAAACTAAAAGTTGAGAAAAATATCCGGAATTCCGGAAAAAGATGATCCCTTTAAAAAAGCTTTACTCTATTAACTCAAAATTATTTACCTTATTTACTCAAAAGATTACAGCTATGAATATTATGTCCAATAAATGATGCAAAAAATAGCATTGAAAACAGTTGTGTAAAGAAAATTAAAAAAAAAACAAAATGGCAAGAGAATTATTGATAATAGAAAAAAAAAAAAAAATACTAACTGGTTTTTATAATTTGATTTAGCACATTATTGGTTAGTATATAAAAAAAATTTAATTCAAAAGATTCAAAAGAACAAATATTTAAAAAAATATACTCAAATACAGGTCTCCAATTTTTTGTAAGCATCTCATTATACTGATCTCTGAAAGAAAAAAAAAGAATATATCAAATGTGTGCGTATATATATATATATATATATATATATATATATATATATATATATATATATATATATATATATATATATATATATATATATCACCATAGAATTACATTCAAATGATGTTAGGGATTTACAACTTGTTTAAGCATTCAAGACATGCATTTGATTTTTAAAGACTGATGATTCGAGTATTAGGGCTAGCTTTGCTAATACTCTTCAATTAGATTTGCAAGCTACTTTGTTCCAAGCTACTTTGCAATTAATATAATATAATGTCAAATATTGATTTAAATGTAGTATTTATTGATAAACCATCATTGTTAGAAAAAAAACTCTGTGAAAAGTCAAGGTAAGTATATGGAGGATGTTATTAGTGTAATATGCATAATATAACTTATATATAACATATAATATACAAAATTTATATATAACATGTAATTATACAAAATAAGTTAACATAAAAGTTTAAAGACATTTTTTTTTACAGGGATGTTAATAATTGAAATGAAAAATATAACTTTTAGAGTCGCATCACTTAATTTTTAGAGTAAGAACATTAAGTATGGGCCTGAAATTAGATCATATCTTACTAACAGAGTCATTTTTACTAACAGATTACTAACAGAGTCATTTTGATTAAAGGTGAATACAGGACTTTTGTTAGGAGATAAGGCTCCTAGTGTCCTAACTAAATTTAAGATTGTCCATTCTATAAAAGCTTCCTTAAGAATACTTGCTGTATTTTTGGACTACAGACTCTTATCTTATTATGTGTTTTCTTATCTTTCAAAAATGCAAGAATATCAAATTTTAAAGTTTATTGTGCAAGTATATTGTGCAAGTGCATGCAGCTGGTTTGAAAGTTGTTCAGCTGGTTAATGTGCAAGTGTTTGCAGTTGATTTGAAATAAAATTGAATGTTTGGAGTGTTGAGAAAGTCGTGTTGCAAGAGAAACTATGCGTTGCATGCGTTATGATTTATGTGTGCTCATCATAAAACACTCATGTAACACTAATTATGTATTAAAAGAACACTATTTATTTACACAATATTTTTTCACAGACGCAAAAAAAAAATTTTTTTAATTGAATATAAAGTTTAAAAACTGATGACTTCTACAACATGTATAATCATGTTTTTTGTTCAAATGTGTTAATTTTTTATTATATTTTATATTTAAAATTCAATAATGTTGCTTATTTACTTATAGTACTTATGTCAAGTAATAAATACACAATAATTAGTAGTCAGGGTTTCACAATTAAGTAAATTAAAACACTTTATATTCTTTCTCTCTCTCTCTCTCTCTCTCTTTTATATAATTATTTTTACTACTTTAAGTATAACAAAATATATACTAATTCGTTTTTATTAAATAAAATTTCTATTAGTAAAATGTGCTAATAAAAACCAGCAACTTTTTTGCTTTCACGTTTTTCGCTTTAACGACCTTGAATTTATTAAAGTTATATTTAGTTAACTTTACTGAATGGATAGAGTATATCACAGTAAATTAACTTATAACCCAAATCAAAACAACCAGTCAAGTTAAGATAGTAACTTACAGTAACTCAAGTATTAATTTAACAATTATATTAATTTTTTTAATATACTCACAAAATTTAGCAATAGACATGTTTCAATTTAGATCTTACATGTTGTTAACACATATAAGCTTTAAACTAATAATTATTTTAACAAAAATTGTCGAATAGAATATGAAAAACGCGACACCATTTTTTTATATTTTCTTTTTATTTATAGCAACATCTAGACTAAACATTTTCTATAAATACACAAGTTGTTTTCAGGAATTTTATTTAAAAAGAAATCAATTTGAACAAGAGAACTTAAAATTTACTAAATCAAATAACTTTGTGATTGAAATTTAAAATTAAAAAAAAACTCAAAAAATTAAAAAAGTGTGATGAAACAAGGGAAAATGAAGAAGAAAGTTTTTTTTTCTTAAATCGTGAATTTTGTTAATGTTTTGAATAACATATTTTTTCTTGAAAATAGTTTTAAAAGTAGAAACATTCTATTGCAAACATCCAAGCAGTGATTGCAAATTGCAAGTTAAAATAAAAATTATAAAAAATTTAAATTAAATTTAATAAATTATTTTACTTCTGTTCGAAAAATTTTTTTAAAAAAATAATTTAAGCATATTCTTATACTTAATATAATTCGATTTATTAAACAAAATTTTTTGTTTCACTTTTTTTTGGAAAAGAATTAGAATAAAAAAAAATTGAATGAAAACATCAGTTTAAAAACCATTTGAATGAAAAACTTAATTATACTTAAATTTTTAATAGTACGCTTGATTGGGAAACGATAATTTATAAAAAACGTAGTATCTAATATTTTTTTGCTTTGATCTTATTCGTTTGGTCTATAGATTATAAACTTGTATATGTCTATAGGCGTAAATATGATGTTTGGTTTTAGTTTATTAACTAGATCAATTTTATTTACTTGCTTCCTTTTATTTTAAACACGTTTTATTTTATAAACTGTATAAATCAACACGAAACAGCATCACGAATTTGTTTTACATTAACCCAAGCTCTTTATATTTTTAAAACAACTTTGCAGTTTGTTTTAATATTGTTTTATAGCTTTTAACAATTAAAAACTTTTTAAAATTAACACGTGTTTTAACGTCAGCATGAACGTATTAAATAGTTTTCTTTGACTAACTAAATTGGTTTAGATATTGTAATGTTGCTTTTTCTCTTACTTTTTTACTTTTACTTTTTTAAGTATCTTTTTAAGTAAAAATATACTTAAAGAAAAATCTTAATAATATTTAAAAATGTTATTGCTTATTACAACTGCAACTTAAACTTTAAGTTATAACTTAAGTTGTAAATAATAACAGTAAATTACGCTATTTTAAACTCTGCCAAACAAGAAAATTATAAGATTTTATTTAAATATGAGAGATAATATGTTAAAAATACAACAATTACGTACAATAGTTACAATTATATACTAACGCAACTTCCCTTCCCCCCCCCCCCCCCATTACCGCAAAGCGGCGCAAGGTGTAAGGAGAGGGGGGGGGGGGTGAAATTTTTTTTTTTCACGATTAGATTTTTTTTCGTTAATTCAAGCCCTGATATATATATATATATATATATATATATATATATATATATATATATATATATATATATATATATATATATATATATATGAAAAAATATTATATAATATATATATTATATATATATATAATATATATTATATATATATATATATAATACTTCAAATATTACCTACATTCAATATTGAATTGATTTAAAATGCTGAAGTCATATTTCATTTTAGTATTAAATAAAATTTGTGCTAACCTCATTTGTAGTAAGACATCATACAAAGCATTTACACTAAAGCCATAGCTCTAAAACACAAATTTAAGTAAAACATACTTTTATGCTTTATGTAAAAAATAAAAGCAATGCTTACACATATTTTAAAAAATTGTTCATAACTAAAAATAATGCTTTGAAACTACTTACATAAAAAGCAATGCTTTGAAACTACTTGCATAAAAAAGCAATGCTTTGAAAATACTTACATAAAGAGTGTGACTAAACCAAACAAGAAGTTCTTTTATTTTTAGCATCATTGATGAATCTTCAAGATTTGACTAAAACAATTTGGACAGATTGAAATTATTCAAGCGAAATAATTCAATGTAATTTTTAACATTTCAGTAAAATATAATTTTATAATTTCAAAAACTTTTGAATCATTAAGTTAAAAGAACAGCAACTAACTTAAACATACAGCAACAAACACAACTAACAATTTATTTACTAATTCTAATAACATAAAAAATTTATTATAAACTTATGAATAATATAGATATTTTAAATCCTATAAACATTCCAATCTAAAACACAAACCTTGACTAAAAAGTCAGCAAAACAAATTTTAAACCGTTTTTAAATTTTTGCATTTTTGCATTTAACAAAATTTTTGAAAACTTTGGATACAAAATTTCCCTAAATGTTATCTATTACTTGCTTTAGTATACTTATAGATTTTATTTGGAGCTAACTAATTCTTTGTATATATAAATCATTAAATTTATTTAATTTGCTTCTATCAATGTTTTGACTGCATGAGCTGTGTGGGTAAGAACAATATCTTTTGATTCATCACTTGATGACATCATTTAAATCTACCAATAAAATAATTTTTTAAATAATTTTCATGTGTGCTGATATAACCATCCAGTTCTCAAGCGCCTCTAAAAATGTTTGTTGACTGATTTTGTTTGGTAAATATTACAAAAACATACTCAATAAAATTAATGAGCCCTAAATACAAAAATATTACTATACTTTTCAGACTTTTTTTATTAAAGAAGCAACCTCCTTAACTGTAGTGACCCTTTAGGCCTCAGGAGGGCATATTTAGTGAAAAAAAAACTTATGAATTTGTGTTTGCTTATTCATAAATTGAAGCATATTTATAAATCAAAGCAAAAACAAGAACACAAGCAAACATAAAATAAAAAATTTTGATTTGTAAACTTTAAAAAAGTAAAGTGATGAAGATGATGAAGTGATGCAAAACCAGGTATCACTATGATGACATATATTTGAACAAACAGCATGCCATAGTTTGGGATAAAAAATATCAAATTGGCAAAAATGTTGAGTTAAGTGTTAAAGATGTTTGTAGGTAGCATCTTTTAATTATTTTCAGTTGTTAACAGTTTTCAAAATAAGGTTATTTTTGCAAAGATTGTACTATGAGAGCAAACGCGCATACATACTTATATACTGCATATAATACAAAGTCAACTTATAATATTCCATTTGTGATTTTATATTGCTGAATCATGTCGCCTATTCTTCGTCACACTTCTAAAGTGGTGAGACGAAGTAGGGCTGGTATATTTTCATAATTTATGTATTTAATCTCAGTTATTGCCATTGCTCACTTTTATATGTGTACAAATATTTTGATGCCACTTTGTAGGCAAGGATACCAGGCTTAGATGACATACTCAAAAAGATATTGTGTAGAATACCCTCTATAATGTTAGCTCTCAAGTACTTAGTTCATTCTAGCTGCTGCAACTTCTACTTGATGTTTGATCTTGTTGTTTATTGTTAGGACCTATAAGTCATGTTAAATAATTTTTGTTTTAAGATCTATTCAATTGTCATCTGTCAAGACTTGAGTGAGTGCTAAAATGCTGACATTTTTCAAGGTTGAAAAACATGAACTATTTCATAGACCATTTGATTACATGATCTATGTCTTGTTGTAGTATCATTTCATTATTTACTGTTTTGATGATCCCTAAGATCTTACAGCTATCTAAGTGTGTGTATATATATATATATATATATATATATATATATATATATATATATATATATATATATATATATATATATATATATATATATATATATATTTTATTTATATATATATATATATATATATACATATATATATATATATATATATATATATATATATATATATATATATATATATATATATATATATATATATATATATATATATATATATATATATATATATATATAAAAGGGGTATAAAAATTTTACAAACTCAATGAGCATGTCATATTATGATGAGCTTTTGTATATAATAACCAGAATTCAGCTTTATTATCATATTTCTAGAAATAGGCTCACTCACTGACCCACTAAAAAGACAAGCCAAAAGCTGTTATACACATAACAAGTATACATAAAGATTCTTTACTGGTAATTTGAAGTAATTTCCGCTTTCCTTAGAATAATAAGTTATATTCAAATAAGTAATAAAGATATATATCATTTAAATTAAGCTATATTGATAAAATTAACAAAACATCAAAATGTTTAAAAAATTATATTGATAAAACTACATTAACTAAAAAGTTTGCATTTGCTTTAAAAGTGATTTGTAAATAAATATTATAAAATCAAAGTTTCTCAGATTTGCAAAGACTTTTGATATCCTCTAAAACTTTTACTGCTTGTTCAACACTAATGTTGAATCTTTGCGTATTTATAGGCAAAGAAATATCACATTAAATCTTTGTCAATGTATTGATAGCCTTTGGATTGATCTTCAATGGCTTCCTCCTTTACCATTTTCAGTGTTATCCTTTACTATTTTAAGGGTTAAAAATTTGGTTTGAAAACCAGATATCTGCTTATTTTCCAGCAATAACCTTAATGGCCATCTCAAGTCATTGTTTTTGTAAAGGAAATAGTATGTAAACAAGTAGTAAATAAATTGCCCAGGAGTTCCATTTATCTTGGCTTATTTTTGGTAAACTCTTAAAATTAACCTTTAATTTATCTTGGCTAATTAATAATCTGCATTCATTTTCATGCTCCTGGTAGTATTACAATCAATTTGTTTATCTCTGCAGCGGCCTTGTTTATCTTTGGGGAGGACGAATAAGGCCGCTTGAACTAACATTAAAAAAAAAAACTTCATATCAATCAATTACAAAAATGTTGAGTGTTAGCATAAAATTAATTTCTTAATGACATTAAATTACACAATAGTAAACCGAGAATAGTATTTCTTCATTTTTAACGTCAGTTAATTTTTTTTTTTTACTTTAATACTATTCCATCTATCTAATTTTTGGTAAACTTTTAAAGTTAATTTTTTTATGTGAAAAGTATTTTACTACATTATTGAGGTGCAGACATTAAAGTTGTCATTAAAGTTATCAACATTAAACATTTCAGTTCAAAGTTTGATATTAAATAGGTATATCTACTACATCTTGTATCGACTAAATAATATGACAGATCAGGTGAATTGATATTACCTTAAAAAATATCATCTTGACATAAATTTCAATCCAATATATAGTGCTGACAACCATCTTTCACTTTTAAAACGTATCATTAATCTCACAGTATTAACATTTGTAGCGTCTGTCATTATCATTTTTATAAATCCCTGTAAATCTTATTTATTCAAAAGTTCTTGAAGTCTTTCAAAAATTGTCTCTAACTTTCCATTCTTCAATACCATTGGCTTTAGCATAACCTCTCTTTTAATGTTCTTTATCACAACTATTAGATGTTCCACCCCATCTATCTTTTTCCTATCAAAATGCAAACACCAATTCTTGACCTTTAGTTATTTTGGCTTTTCTGATAACTGCCATATGGATTGCTGGTTGAGTTGGCATAAGAAGATTGACACCAGCCATCTGAAGTCGTTAACACAATGTAGCAGCCTTATGTGTACTCAGCTTTGTTCGACTAACTAATTTAACAGTCTTGATTGTCCTCTGTTTAATATTTCATTTGTTATTATTTATTGAAGGTTTATAATCACTGACTTATTACTAACTCATTACTTTTGTGTTCCTCTCTGTATTCATTCAGAATTGTTGATGGCATTGATGGAATGTTTCTAATATTAATTTTTTTTAGGGGTGCATTTATTTAGAATCATCAGACTTTATTGTAGTATATTTCACTCTACCAGCTGTCTCTTATTGCTTTAAGTAAAGATTTTTATCTTCAAACTGTAACCTCAGTTCATCTTCTTTTGTTATTATCTAATAAATATCAAAACTTTAAGTACTTGGTTATTTGATTTCTATTTAGTAATTTATATTTCTTTTTATATTATCTTTGCCACTGATCTTTTGTCTATTGTTAGAAAATTCAAATTAGCCCATAGTTACAAACTGTTTTAGTATTACAGCCTGTTCTGAATGTTCATCAGACAATTTCTTTATTCAACCTTTTTTACAGTCTAAGTGCTAAGCTGGTGTATCGGATAATTATTTTTCTGTGTCTCTTTTTTTTTTGGTAACAGTAGAATTTTTGTTTGACATTTTGAATGTTGTGTACTAACTGAACTTGTAATGTCTTATACAATTTATTGTTTGATTTGGTATTTAAAAGCAACAACATTTTTTAGAAAACTTAATTAACATAAATACAAGTTTACAATTAATACTCGGTATAACAAATGCTCAATAAACCCTATGTCACTGATATCACTTTTATTTTGCAACCTTACAAGGGTTGAATTAACGCATCGCGATTTGCGATATCTGTTAAATTATCTGGTCTTCAAAGTTTTAGTTTATGGAACACCACGAAATTTACGGAATAGGCGAAGAAATTTAATTTCTTAGTGAAAATGTTATGAAAAACAAAACAATAAATTTATGACTACAAAAGTAATAATACTACAGTGTTGTTACTTTTATAACACTCTTTTATGTTGCATTTATAGTTTATTGTTTGATCAAACAACACATAATCAAGATATTATAAATAAAAATGATTTAATTAAGTAATTCCAAACTTTAATTAAAGTAGTAATGCATCTTGAAAAAATACAATGGATATTTAAACAATGTTAAAAACCTTAGCAACTTTTACGAATACATATTTTTATAAACAGTTTAGCATTTCTAAACATCTTACTAACGGTCCAGAAAAAACGCGCGTTCACTTTAAAATCATCCAATGAAAACACTGATAATTTACTTCTTAGGAGAAATCTATATTAAAAGGGGAGGGGAGGGGGGGAGGCTATAAACTTAAATTTTGTTTTATTATTTAATCAATTAAATCATAATAAAAGTAAAGACAAAAAAATATATTTCTAAATATACTTCTTTATAACTAAAGTTTATTAAATTGAACACCTCTGTTTTTAGTTTAAGTAAATGTCAGTGCTACTCTCAGTGGCGAAACTGCAGAGGGAAGGGGGGTAGCAGACAAAAAGTGTCCTATTTTTAAGCTAATTTTAGGTTGCATGGGCGATGTGGGGCTTATTTTAAAAATCGTGCGGAGGAAGGGGGGGGAATTTTGCTACAGACTACTCTAATGTGCTTAATACATAGGTAGGTGGGGGTGGGAATTTTAGTCAGGATATATAAAATGGGAGGAGTAAATAATAAAAAAAAGCGAGAGGATTTACAATGAAAGTTTTATTATTTATTGGTTACCAATATATATATTTTTTAATTTTAAGGCCAATTTTCACTGAATTTTTGTTTTGAGATATAGTTTTTTGTTTATAACAAGTGACTTGTTATAAACAAATAACACGATTTTCAAAATCAGCCCCATATCGCCCATGCAACCTAAAATTAAATAAAAATCAGGACACTTTTTGTCTGTTAACCAAAGCCCCCCCTCCCCCGCAGTTTCGCCACTGAGAGTAGTACTGACATTTACTTAAAACTAAAAACAGACGTGTTCAATTTAATAAACTTTAGTTATAAAGAAGTATATTTAGAAATATATTTTTTTGTCTTTACTTTTATTATGATTTAATTGATTAAATAATAAAACAAAATTTAAGTTTATAGCCTCCCCCCTCCTCCCCTTTTAATATAGATTTCTCCTAAGACGTAAATTACCAGTGTTTTTATTGGTTGATTTTAAAGTGAACGCGCGTTTTTTCCGGACCGTTAGTAAGATGTTTAAAAATGCTAAACTGTTTATAAAAATATGTATTCGTAAAAGTTGCTGAGGTTTTTAACATTGTTTAAATATCCATTGTATTTTTTTTAGATGCATTACTACTTTAATTAAAGTTTGGAATTACTTAACTAAATCATTTTTATTTATAATGTCTTGATTAGGTGTTGTTTGATCAAACAATAAACTATAAATGTAACATAAAAGAGTGTTATAAAAGTAACAACACTGTAGTATTATTACTTTTGTAGTCATAAATTTATTGTTTTGTTTTTTATAACATTTTCA